TGTCAACACAAATACACCAACTATCATCTTTCTGTGGTGTGAGTAAAGCTGGTACAACACATGAGCTTAAATTTTCATGGATCAACCCCTTATTCAACAACTCTGTTACATGTCTTTGGAGCTTCTCATGCTCCTTAGGACTCATTCTATAATGGGGTAGGTTAGACAATGCTGCTCTCGACATTAAATCTATATGATGTTGTTCATCTCTTAGGGGAGGAAGGCCATTGGGTAATTCTTCAGACATCACATTAGCATACTCATGAAGTAGTTTCTTCACCAACTCTAGAACATGTGTTTCTTTGCTAACTTCTTTTGTAATCAACTTGTAAACAACATCCAAATTCCCATCTTTTTGATCCAAAGAGAGTAGTGGTTGGCTTTGTTTCATTCTTTGGAGATAAATCAAGTTGCATTGGTTTAAGAGTTATGTTCTTATTATCTTTCACAAAGTTATATGTATTCTTGTCCCCATAATGAATAGTCTTACGATCATATTGCCATGGGTGACCCAAGAGAACATGTCATGCATCCATTGGGACAACATCACACCATACCGATTCTTCAAATAGTCTTACCTCATTTCATTTGTTGAACCACAGAATACGATATGGTCAGGGGTGTTAAACAGTCTTGAGCTGTAATTTATCCACCATCTCTTGAGAAACAAGATTCTCACTACTCCCACTGTCAATAATTAGGTTACACAACTTCCCACCAGTTGTACAACGTGTTCTAAAGATATTCTTTCTCAACCAGTCCCCTATTAGTGGTTCTTGAGGTGCAACCATAAAGTGTCGTATCACTAGAGCTTCACCCTCAATATCCCCATCCAAGTTTTCTTCCTCTAAAGCATTAGCTCTAGTAGTTTCGGTCACTTGCCCACTTCTACATGGCCTATATCGATCTTRTTGTTCACTAGTGACTTCATCAACTAGATGTGTTTGCCCTTCAATCCTTCTCTTAGGACATTCATTTGAACGTTATCCCAACTCCATACACCTGAAACATCTAATAGTAGACTGCCATTGACTACTATTTGTTGCATTTGAAGTCCCTTGGACTATAGGTCATATTTGGTTGATCCCATGACCCCTACGAGCCCCAACACTTCAACCTATAGTTGAAGATGTACCTTGAACAACACTTGGCCTCTGCCTTGAGTTCAGACTCAGTTGAGCTTCAACCTTTAGAGCTAGCTGATATGCATCCTTTACCTCATGTAGGCAATGTAGGCTGACTTGATCTTGTATTAGAAACCTCAAACCATTGATATATCTACCAACTTTTCGTTGTTCAGTTTTTGAGATATTACTCCGAAGAGTTATCTATTAAACTCTTTTGTGTACTCCTTCACACTCTTTTCCCGTTGCTTTAAATTTTGCACCCTTTGGTAAAGAATTTGTTCATAGTCTAGTGGTAAAAATGGGGATTTCAACTTCTCTTTCATTCTTCCCCAAGAACTAACATTTCTTTCCCCTTCCTTTTTTTGTCTCTTTGATAGTTTTTCCACTAATCTAAGGTTGTCCCACACATCTTTGTTGTTACAAGCTTCGCTTTTCTTTTTCATTAATTTCTTTCTAATCAAAATAATTTCCAATGATGTCCAACCATCCTAGAAGCTCTTCAGGTTCCAACTCACCATCAAACTCGGAAATATGGAGTTGAACACCATGACCTTGATTGGATTGTAAAACTTGCACTATTCGGTCTTCCCACCGTTGGTTGTTTTTCCTTCTTGTTGATCACCTTCAAGTTGCTCAATGTCTTCACTTGATTATTCACTAATAATGTCATTGAGTTATTCATCAACTCTAGGAGCTTGTCTTCTAATTCCTAGCCCCAAATCATTTGCTATATCACCATCCCTAGCAGCATTTTGAGCTACAAGTTGAGAAAGATGTTTAATATGTTCTTGCAATCCTCTTATAGCCTCTTACAAAACCTCTACAGTGACATGTTGTGGTCTTCTACCACCCCTATTGATGATGCGCGATCTAGTAGCTCCCTGTCGGCTGATGACTCAGAAGCCGAGCTGGAGAATTCCTTGTTGGAAGGTGACTTGGATGCCGAGCTGAGTAAGGCCAAGCTAGAAGATAGCTTGGGTGTCGAGCTATATAATGGAGAGTTGTGTAATTTTCTGAGAGACCTGTAGTGAAATAATATTAGAGTGCCCGAATTTCTTTACCCGAGGTGGGCATTCCAATGCTTAAGTCAGCAAGTTGGATATTTTTGAGAGAGCTAAAAGCAAGGATTCAAATATCGACATGATACGCCCGATATGGGGCGTATCGTATCAGTATCAGCCTTACCTGGCACACGATACACTATGATTGGAGGTGTATGCTGTTAGTCGTGTGTATCGGGTTGATACGCCTTGTATTAATACGTATTGGTCCGATATCATGCGATATAAACTAATACACGTTTGCACACACGTACTTGTTTATTAAAAATTAAAGGCGTTCACGTGACTCAAACCTGAGTCCCCCCATATGGGAAGCACATTTAAGGCAACTCGTAAACCATTTAGGCTACTTCACACTTGTGTAAACATTTAAAATAAAACAACTTTTATTGCATATAACATCTAAATAGTACATGTAATTCAAATAAATAATATATTTATGTTTAACAATTTTAAATAAAAATTGTAAAGAACAATATTCAAAATTGATATTTTATAAACCTATGGAATAAATAATCTATCAAATCCACATTAAAACCAAAAGATGATTTTAATCTCTTGAAATTTATGCAAATAAAATATTAATAATAAAATAATTATTTTAATACTTAAAATTAATATATATTAAATAATTGATTAATATTTTAATTTACATTACATTATTTTTTAGAAAATATTTGAGAGTATAATATTAAATAGAATCTATCGACTTTGTTAATCAACATTTATACCAAAAAATGATTTTTAATTTTAGAAATAAAACTATCAATAATATAATAATTATATTAGTAATTAAAATTTTGCATATTATATCTTAGAAATTTTAACAGATTTAATATATTTTAAATTGAAATTATATTTTTTATGAATTATTAATTGATATTCTAGTTTACATTTGAGAATTTAATATTTAGTTGACTTTTTTGTTAATGTAAAAAAATTAAAAAAAATAATTAATATAGTAATTAAAATATAATATATGTACATGTTATGTGTTGTGGACTCTTTATTGCTACATTATCAATAAAATTGTGTAATATTTATGCATACCATTAAAATATACATTTCCTTTGTATTTATACATTATTTATGACTATTTGATTTTAAATTTAGTGTTATTAATATATTTATGGAATTTGTATGTGTTTTTCCGGCATATCTAGGCATTTCCATTTTTTTCGTCTGTATCTATGCGTTTCCAAAGCGCATCCGTATCCGTATCTATATTTAATTTGTCTAATACGATACTCGACACCGAAACTTTGATCCTTGACTAAAAGTAAGAGAGCTAGAGAGTTACAAAAACTAAATCGTGCATGTACCTTGTGAGGTTGGAGGTGAGGCCTATAAATAGGCATTGTTTGGTGTGGGCTTCATGCACGTTGCCCAAAATCTTTGGAAGGTCGTGGCTGGCCAGGCCAAAGTCTTTAGAGGGAGTGGCGCATGTAGACCAAGTTTTGTGCCTCCGAAACATTCAATGCAGGAGATGACTTCTGGAAGACCCAAGAGTGACGAAATTCACACACGGAGGTTGGCAAGCACGCCTCGCAGGCCGCCATCTGGACCTCAGTCGAGTTGACAAGTCCTCAAGGGAGGTTGTTCCTCGTGCCGAGGTCACTTGGACCAATAACAACAAGGTACCACAAGTCGGCCCTRGACAAGGTGTTCTTAGCCACCTTACCGAGGTGCCCAAGTTATAAATGAGGTCGCCAGTTAGGACTCCAATTAGTTGGCGGATGTAAGTTGCCAGGTCAGATTTCAGCTAAGGCAAATCATTGCCTACGTGGTGTCGAGGTGTCATCTAGTTGTTTTGAGATGCCACATGTCCTGATGTCAATGGAGGGCCAAATCTGCCCTCATTACTTACATCCACCCCTTGCAACTATGATAATATAGAAAAACATGAGGAATGAACTTTGAAGTAAACCCAAGGAAAGAACTTGCTCTGATACCACTTGATGTGGACAGAAAGACCATTACATGCAATGCCTCAAATATACAACAATAAACATAAGAAATACCAAACTGAAAACAACAAACAAGTTGGATGTTTAGGGATTTTAGACCTTAACCTGAAGTAAAACTTCTCTTGGAACAATTCCGCTACAGTAACAATGGCAACAAACTGGCCTCTCGTAAGAACACACAACGATAAAAGGATTGGAAGGTGCCAAAAATATGTCAATTCCTCAAAACCCAAGTTCCCAATACTTGAAACCTTAACTAGGGCTAAGCTACAACTCAAATAAGAGAGAAAGAACCCGAAAAAATACCACTACAAAAACAACCCTCTTCTCTTTTATAACTCACTGCTTGCTTGCTGGACAAGCCAATTAAAATATTTACACAAGCCTCTAGATGTTTTCCTCTCACAAGCAACTCCTTAAGAACAAAACTAACTTCAAATGAACCCTTAAAAGATAACTTTTGTTAAAAAAAAACCCAAGACCAAAAATCCGACTTATAAAATGACGAAAATGCCCCTATTCCCAAACTATCAACAAAATTACCCAAAAATAACAATTTGGGATCCTACTACGAAAAAAAACATGCAAAACATAATACATTCACATTTTTTTTTGCATCATCACTCATTGATGTGTTTCACAACTCAAGCCCATACACGAGGGTCACATATCAATGTAAAAGTAGCTTTTAGGAAATTTCTGCTTTTTTGCCTTGACCAAACACTATATGCATACTATTCATATTTCAGGATTGAACCATTTCAACAATTTAAAAAAAAAAACATTTCAAGCAATTTAAATCACCATTATGCGTGCAAAATGCTGTTAGAAAATCCAAACACATAGAAGTATTGAAATAGCACTTTATTATGAGAACTAAGACATTTATAATATTCCCTTATGAACCATTTAAAAGCCGCGACAATCAAAATTTTCTAAGGAATTTAAATATGCAATTTAACTGATGGAAAGTTGTCAGTTTCATGATTTCTAACTAATGATTAGTTTTTGTAAGCAAAATTTTTTACTCTATGTACCGATACTACTACTTAATAAAGTGTTGATTTCTCCAATAATGTTGACAGACCTTCCATCAAACATCGATGAAAGTGTACTCTCACACAGCTTCTTCAGCTCCCTGGTTTGTGCAAGTGCTGCTTCCTGCAACATGGCATATTTATTCAGTTSTCAAGTTTTTCTTTCCCTTCCCGTCAAGTAGATCAATTACAAAGAAAAACAATTAATTTAGTGCCTTAAGAATCAAAATTCCAAACCTTTCTTTCTGAAGGAAGACTGATTGAGAAGCATTAAAATCTAATAATAAATCATGTCCAAGAGAGAATTAATGAATTAAACGGCAAGAACTGAAAATGAACCTTCCTGATACACCTAATATTGCTTCAAAAGCCTAAACCATCGGTCCAACAAATAGAACCTACAAAGCATGTGATCACAATTCCCAAGCAATTTTCTTCTATAATCTGCTTTTCTATCTCTACCAATTTCTTTTGAAAGATACTTGTCTGCAATTCCAGAAAAAGAAACCCTTTGATGAAAGAATCCAGACTTTTGTTTACTCCCTGAGAAGTGAGAATCATCTCCTACAGTTGCTACACTTTGTTATCTTGTTTTCTTCAGTTGGCGAGACCCCAACCTAAGCCTAGGGGTGAGGCAGTCAGATTCTATTCATTTCCTCTACCTTTCCAGTTTCCAATATTTCTTTTTTCTTTTCTGTCTTCTTTCCATTTACAATAGGCAGTACCCAACACTAACCGCGCCAGGAAGCTTCCAATACTCCCAAATTAGAATGGCTGCATGATCTTTTTTCTTAATCATTATGATCGTACAGATTCCAAGCATACATCATAGTGTTCTTTCTACAATGCTTGGGGAGTTCTCCCATCCAAAGTAATAGGTGGATGATATCCACTTATTGATTTTTGTCCCAGTAACTGGGTCCTGTTTGCTCTGCATATCTGCCACGTATCACATCTGTGCTCATATTTGTGTTTAAGAAAAAGTAAATACTCATACACACTCTAGATTTTCCTTTCTTCAAATGAATGAAATGGTTTAATGGTTTAGTGTCTTGGATATACCTTTGCATGGTTAGAATATGAGCAAATTAAGAATATAATATGAAGATCAAATCTCAAAACTTTACATTTATGGTACTATAGGGCATAAATATCAAGGAGATACAATGATTTTAGGTGATAAGAGTTTTTTCGAGGTCAGGTTGTGCTGCTGTTTCCATATAGGATATATAATGATTTTAGGTGCAATGCAACCAAATCATATCAAATTGTATAAATAAGGTAAATGGGTGTAAAAGGCATCATAAAAGCCTAAAATTCAACTTACAGAGCCAAAAAATGGGCTTTGCTCCTTTTGTTCTTTAAAAAAAAATTCTAGTCACCTCTCTGTCTTTATGTGACTAGAATAAACGCTCTACCCCTTCATTTTATTTTTAATTTTCTTTGCAGTTAACAGACTTACATATTCTCTCTTCTACGCATCTATGTCACATCTGATTCTTGATCCTAAAATCACAAAACTAATCCCTTTATATATGGGCCAAAAATTTAGGACCCTCACATGGACTTGTTTGGGCTTGCCTCAAGTGGCAGGTCAAAGGTGGAGGGCTGATCTCATGTAATTAGGAATGAAAGATGTTTAACATCACATTATCTACCTGAGGTAATGCAATTGGGAGATAATAAACAGATTAAAAGCTTCACATGTTTGAATTGTTGAGTGCTTAAATATATTTTATATATTATGTTTATAATTTGAGCCAATTTTAAAACACTTGGTTTCTTTTAAACTTCAAGTTWGCATTTTTTTGAAATAATATATTTTTTTTAATTTGTAAAAATTTTGCACCTTGCACTTATAAAATATCAATTTGAAGGAGACTCAATAAACTGCAACACCATCCCCCATGATGCCAAAGAATGACCAGTGGACCATAGCACTTAGCAAACCCATTAAAAAAGATCAGAGAATCTCTGGAAAGCTTTAATTTTCAGATTAGATGGATTGGGGCATGAATGCCATAGAATGTCTTGCAATTGGAATAGAAGAGGCCTTCTTGTATGCAGTTCTTTTTTTCTTGACCATTTGTGTATCAATGTACATTTTCTCATGTACTCTCCTGCTCTTTCATATAGAATGTATACTTGCTATCTTTTCCTCAAAAAGTTTAAAAATATAGACCCATGCAAAAAAAAAAAAATATATATATATATATATATATATAATAAAAAATAGTTGCATAAACATAAAGCTTTGCTATCCTATATGAAAACAAGCATGGATAGAATCAAATTCACTGTCCTACAATTGTGAATGTTCTCATTTTAGTGGAGTTTTTTTTTTCTATGGATAAAAGTTCATTTCAGTGAGAACTCAAATAGGAGATGTACAACTTACTTGCTTTGGCCAGGATGAAGATAGTGCATTGTGCAGCTCCATGCGTTTTGCTGACAAATCCTTCAAGCTCTCTTTCAACTTCACTTCATGATGCTTCTTTTCCTCCAATGTGCTCACAAGTCTTTCTAAAAACCTGAAATTTATGAAAGAACTTAGCTAAAGGCATTGAAAGAGGGAAAACAAGGAGGTAGGACTAATTCAGAACTACAGAACAACACCATAGAGATCAAATGCAAAATGTTAAGAATGGAAGAAGCAAATGGAAAAAAAAAAGAACATCCATGGTTATTGATCAAAAAATAAAAAAACAGAACATCCATAAGAAAGAAAAAGAAAGATCTTGTGGATTTTTTGAGGCATCATGCACTTTCACAGTTTCACATCATTATTTCTTCTAGTACAGATGGACATTTGAAACAATAAATTCTCAGATCAAGGAGGACGGATACATCCATGGCCGCTCAGTGCAAAATTTAGAGGGTACCTAGTGATTCTCGAGTTGGAGAAACCAAGGCAAGACTTCTTTTGGGATAGGATGAAAGACAAGAGAAAGATTCATTTGGTGGCATGGTCAAAAGTCTACTTACAAAGGAAAAAGGTGGATTGGGATTACAAACATTGAATACCTCAAATAAAGCTTTGCTTGGGAATGGATATTGGGGTATGGGAAGGAGAAAAAAGGAGATATGGAGGAAGATAATCCACTGTATATATGGTGATTCAGGTCTGGGATGGGAGACAGATCATATCTTAGGCTAATATGGTATGAGTCTTTGGAAAGGATTATGAAACACAGATCTCTTTCTCTACTTCACATCCCACCATGTATGAAATTGTACTAAACAAGGAGGAAACAATAAAGAAATGCTATGAAGTGGTTAGTGGATAGGCGATTTGGTTGCTAAGGGTGTAAGAAACATGTTTGGTTTGGGAAATGGAGGAGCTGGTATCTCTGCTAGAGTTCATTGATAGGCACAAGCCGGACCCAGAAAGGGGGGACTGTCAATGGTGGCGGGATAGATATGATGGTGTGTACTTGGTGTGAAGTCATACTATATGTTGCTGGTGACTTGTAACTCTCAAGTTGTGCCTTTGAAGTGGATTTGGAATGTTAAGACTTGGAGCCCCATCTAAGGTGACCTTTTTTGTTTGGACTTCATATTGAATAAAGTTCATAATGTTGACAATTTGAGGTAAAAAGGTATGCAATTGGATAATTTGTGTCACTTGGGAAGCTTTTTGGCTTGTGATGAGTGATACTTGGGATGTTCAAAGCCTTCAACTCATGGCCAAACACTGGTTTCAGTAAGAGAAGAAAGTTGGGCTTTGTAGACTGAGAGGAACAGGGGGGGTCTTTGAGAATGGAGTATCTTCATCAGAAGAGCTGTTAGACAAGGAAGAAAGGATCTTATTCAGATGAGATAGGCATGAGTAAGCATGAGAAAAGACTGCTGGTTATACGTGAAAATGTAGATAAACCTCATTTATACATATGGGAAGCAAATTTATATCAAACCAGTCTAAATGAATGCTAAAAAAGCTATCCACCTTCTGGAGTTCAGAATCATGATTAAGTCCCTTGTTTTCCTGTTTGTAAGCATAGAAATTGACAAGGAAACGTCGGCCAACATTTTCTCAATGGCATCAGCAGTGTATTGCTGCAGAACAAATGGAGCAACTGCCTGAACTTGATGCTGTAAAGATGCAGTCTCTTCACTTCTCAACTCCATTAACCGTTGATTTAGAAATGCTTTGATCTGAGCATAAAATACTAACAGCAAGTTAAAAAATAAAAAAAAAACTCCAAAATTCTAGAAGAAAGTCATATCTGGTTTGCAGCTCCACCATCACACTGATCAAGATGGTATCGTGTTTGCATTCAGAATTTAAGTACGTAGCATTTTTTGTTTTTAGAACAAGGGAAAATAAGATTTTATTTCAATTCAGAATAATATTAATAACAAGAAGGGCAGGGCCCATAACAGAAGCCCAGACCCCAAAACTACAAGATTTACACAATACACCCTCCAGAACTCTAAGGACTGCCATGGGGACATATAACCACTTCCCTTAGCAGAGAACCAAAAGCCAAGATTGGCAACAATGAAGTTAATAAGCTCCTGATGCTTTTGATTGCTATGACAAATATATATATATATATATATAGTATAATGTAGAATATGCATATTCATAAACCACACAAATATATGGTTTGTATGTATGTACATATGTATATATGCATGTAGTATATGGAAAAGGATTTGCTAGTTGAGTATTTTAGAGAGCCCAAAACTTACCCAGAAATCTTCTATGTGGCAATGTTGTTTTGAGCCCAAAAGTACCTGACATGTTTGCCCCTTCACCCTCTAGTTATGTGAGAAATTTCAGCTTCATAACCCCAGCCAAATGTCATATAATCCTTCCCATATGGGATTTTTTTGCATTAAAAAAGAAAACAATCAATAACTATTACTTGAGTATTGATTTGGTGGTAAAATTTGTTGCTGCACTATGATACCTGGATACCTGTACAAAGGTGCCATATCATGTCGGATACTTCAAATTTTAGTATAATTATGTACCTGATACTGTATCCAGCCATGTCCTTGCCAGACATGGGTAACATAGGTGCTGCAATCTTTCCTACTTTTGGAATGTGCTAGTTGGCTTAGCTGGTAAAGTCAGTGGATGTAGTTCCCACTGATGTGGGATTAAATCCTGACTTCACCCTCTCCACCCCCTTCCAAGTTTAGCCGGGAAAAAACATGCTTTCTATATTATTATTATTATTACTATTATTATTAATCTGTACTCAATGGTTGTTGATTTATTTTTCTTTTTCTTAACATATCATCAAGATGGTAGCTTTCAGCCCTGAGCCAAGCTTGTGCAGAGTTTATCTGGCTATTGTCTTTGACTGGGAGATGACTCTCCTCCTTGGTATTTTAAGGAAGCAGACCAATGTAGCACTTCCTTCCATTGTCATCTTCATCTCCAAGGAGCACATTTTTAGCAAGAGGGTTCACGGAATCAATGTCAGTTCTGAAAATGAGAGCATATCCATCATCCATGACATTATGATTGAGTTTGATATGATTAGACTCATCAACCTGTCCCCCTTGATCTCTGCATGGATGTGAAAATAATGAGACACGTAAAAGATAATAAGAATCTTGATGGTGGGATTATATTTGAAGGAAAGATAGTGCCCACCAAAAGCCATTCATTGAGCAGAGATAAGGTTTCCTGTATCCCTGAAAATTTCCATATCTTGAAAATATTTTCTTTACGAACAATGACTAAAGGATTATTATATAGATGCAGTTTCATCTTAGATCTTCCTTCTCCTTGTAAGGAGCAAGTTCTCCATTAATCGATGATCAAGCCAAGCAGAGTCAAGCTTAGCATAAAGCCCTTCAAGCCTGATCTTGGCACTATAAGCTCACCAACAGCCTGAACCAAGCCTCAGTCAGATGATGCAGTGATAATTCCAAGCAGAGCTGACCAAAGCTCAGCCTAGTTTACAACTCTAGCTCATATGGACACATTATAACAAAAATAGAGTAGGCTACATGAGAAAGGTGCACTACACTAACTGGGTCAGTTAGGGAGCTTCCCTGCAATAACACCACCTGTGTCTGCCACACGGAGGGATCATGTGCTCAACCCAAACCAGTCATAGATGGAGGACCCACTAGATAGGCCATTTGTTCAATTATGCAGTGTACATCATCCCTATATTGATCCTTGTATGTAATTTTGCAAGTCTTTAATCTAGAAATTGCTTATAAAAAGGGTCTATTTTGACCACAAGACAATGTCTTTGGGGCAGAATGTTTTTTCCCATAGATAGATGATGAGGAGATTCCAGAGCTCTAAACTAACCTGCCATGTAGAAGACTCCTAGGTCATTTACAAAAGCTCATTAAACAACACAACTTTCCCTTGTGTGATATATATATGTATTTATGTATGTATGTATGTATGTACATGTATGCATGTATGTATGTATACATGTGAATTTCCTTATATGAAGACAAATTTAAGACAGATATAGACCAGAATAGGGAAGAACAATGACAAATAGCAAATACCTCAAATAGATCATCAAGAATCTTATTTCTGTACTCTGTCTCCAGAAGTTGACTTCTCTGTTCTCTTGTTTCCTGAGTTTGAGCTGACATATTCAGAACTGATGTCTGTGATTCCAGAACCGGGTCCTGTCTATCTACATCTTCAAGAACTTCAACTTCAGGATTTTCAACACTAATATCCCAAGATATCTCAGATGTGTGAAACTCTGGGGCAATGCCTTCTTCCACTTTACTTACAGGAGTCTGATCAGAACTCATGCCATTGTTTGTTGATGAATCCTGTATGGCATCACTGATATTTACCATTTCATAAGGGCCTAGTCCATTTGCAGTATCATTCGTTTCTTCCACAACCCCAATGTCCCAATCAATCTGAGAGCTTTCCAGAGAAATATTCCAGTCAATGGCATCAGTTGCAAGATTCCCTGTCATAAGAGAATCTGCATTGACCTTTGAAAGATCTGTTACAGAATCAAGGTCCTCAGGGACCACAGAAATATTCAGAGAAGGGGGATTTTCACGAATGTCCCTTAAATTTGGCAGCACATTCCCTGAAGAGTTCTGCAGTCACATTTATAAACTATACTTACTATATGAATGTGCAGACAAGTTCACCTGGTCATCCACTATATAAATATCCAAAGTTCAACACTGGTCATTAATGAGCCTCACCTCCTTTTCTGTATGAGCATCTCTAACAAAATTTGAATAGTAGTCCATTGCTCGCGATATTGAATCTCCATTTATGACTTCAAGAATCTCGCTGAAGGTGCCTGGAAGTGACATTGCAGTCTCTAGAAGTTCCAACCTAACATTTTTCCCCTGCAAAGCAAAACTATTACATTGTTAATCTTAATTATTTCTGATACTAAAATCTATACTCATATGACAAACCCCAAGAGAACAACCTGCAGCCCAAGCTCTTGACAAGCTTCTACATATTTAGCTGCTGATAGGGCTGCATTTCTTTTAATATCAACCTCCTTGCGCTCTAATTCTGTTAGTTGTTGCTGAATCTTCTGCACCTGCTTTTTCTGATATGGACTTCAACATACAAGTGCAGTGATAAGTAATCAATCACATAACATAAAATTAAAAGCTCCATACCCTACATGTGACATATTAACAATGTGAATCTGGAACTGCCTTACATTTCATAGTTCACATTTTGGACCATTATGTGAGCAGCCTCACCAAGAAAAATGCGATCCTTTTCAAAAGCTCGCACAATGGCCTCCCATTCACCCTATCAGAATGTCAAAACAAGGCTATAAGAACAATATAAAGAAAGGGTGGAGAAAACATAAGTGTGATATGGTTGACTTTAAAGATCTTACAGCAGAACCTGATAACCGGCCAAAAATGTTCCGGCTTTCTGGAGCTGATCTCAGAAGAATGTCATATATTTTCTTTGCTTCTGTGTATCCGATGGCTGAAAAGGAAATGGATGCCATCAGGATATGACAGGAATCATCCTGAATCTCTAAAAGTATAGCTTTGTTTTTTAGTTTTTCTTTCCAATTCTAAATAACCAAAAAATGGCTGTTCTACTGAATTCATCCCAGTATTGTATGGAGATTCTACTTCTTTCTTTGTTTTTCTTCTATTTTTTAATCATGTAACCCTACCAGGATCTGAAGTTGGAAAGGTTAAGCTTGTAAGACCAAATTCCCTCTTATCACTATCAAGTTATCAATTTCTTAAATTACCGAAGTTCATGGATGTTATGCAACTTTACATTCTTATTGATGAAAAATGTACATCTGAATTCTATGCAACAATCAACCTTTCTTGAGCGAAAACAAAAGGAACAGTAAACATGATAAAAAAATCGAACTTTGGCGTGACCTTCTTGATCTAGGGTCTGAAAATAGGGATCAATATTCTTCGGTAGAGCCGAGAAAGCCGATGAAATCCGAGCCCTTACTGCTGCCAGTCGTTTTCGATAATCAGCTGGAATTTTCTTCCGATCGACCAACCATTCTTCACTCCAATAGAAATATACCAAAGCATGAATAAACCCAAACAGATATTATAATAGTTTGAACCCTAAATTAACTTTGAAAGAACAAAAAAAAAGGAACCCAAGGCCAAACTTGAGATTGTTAAAGTTTACCTGCGAGACGAGCGAAAGCTATATCAATCGGAAGTTTGCGAATCTCTTCTGGGTCGTGCATCTTCCGATGAGCTCTCTCGCCAGAATTCGAAATTCTATACTTCTCTCTTTCTGCTTCGAATGACTGAAGAGCAGTAGTTCCCGACTCGCGTGTAGCTCTCTGCTGTCAAAAGGTAGGCATTAGCAAAACGTAAATGACGAACTGACGGGGCGCACGTTTTCGCGTTAATTATTCGTGGTAAAAGTAAAATACTAAAATATAAAAATCTCTCCTAGATTTTCTGAGAATCATATTAATCTCTCCGGTCTTTTTTTTACTCTAAGGTAAACCTCCCTTAAGTGTAAGGACCACCCTTTCCGCGGATACCGCCCCAACATTTTAAATAAATTATTAAAAAATAAAACAGTTTAAATAAATAAATAAATACAAAAAATAACAGTATATTTCAACTATTTTTACCATATATATACATGCTTTTTTATAAACAAATAAATAACAAAATTTATAAATATATATATATATATATATATATATATATATATATATATATATATATATTGGATCCGATTGATCATCTGAATCTGATTTTTTTAATTGAATCCGATTATTTGATTCGATCTGATTCAAAAATCTAAAATGAGGATATTCGAATCTGACAAAATAGGGTCAGACTTCCGATTGGATCAGAATCCGATCCATTTGCACCCAAAAAAACATGTAGGATAAGGTATTAAGCTAAATTGAATCCCCCTAACCCGTACTTTGTTGTTGTAAGCAATGTTTTAAGACTCTAATCAGTAATAAATGGAACTCTCTATGTCCTGGTTTTACTAGTTAATTAGGTGGTTTGGCCGTCCGGCCTGTCAAAACCATCATTTAATCGGGACCCAAAAAGGCCACTGGTTCCTGATTTTAATGGTTTGATTGTCTAGTCCTATTAAAACATTGGTTGTAACTTGTAAGGCATTGAACTTGTGTATTATATATGAAATCTTCATATATAAGAAAACAACATGTGTTTTTTTTTTTTTATGAAATCTTCATTTTTCACACATGTTTTTTTTTTAATTAAATCATAAAAAATATAAGAAAACAACATAAAAAAAAACATTTTCCTATCTTGATTGTCTCTAATAAAATCCATCCACTACTCAAATAAAAACTCTCTTAGCTAATAATTGTTTCTAATAAAATTCATTATTACTCTCTCTCTCTCTCTCTCCAATGGTCAATATTTCTAACATCTTCCTTTGTCCCCATTAAAGGATTCCTCACTAAGGCTCATCCAACTCCCAAAAGTAATATTCAAGGGGTTATGCTGACAGAGTAGAATAATAACAGAAACTTGAAGAACATCTATTATAAATATTAAAAGATATTCCTGACGAGGAAATCGGGAGAAAATATCAAAAAAGATTTGCTTAAGAAGGAAGATATAATCTCATACAGCGAAATTATAAAGATCAATAATCTTAAAAATGAAGTTAGATCTCTAAAGACAAGAACTGAAATATCAGAATCTTATAAAGATTTAGTATACCAAGGAGGATCTAGTAGATCCTCAGAAATAGGAAATGTAGAACCTACTAAATTTGTAGGAGATGATGAAGAATTTGTATATTCAATTGAAGAAGCCAAGTACCAAAAATGGTACTCAAAAGTTACAATTAAAATTAAAGATTTTAATTCCTCGATAATAGCCCTAATTGATTCAGGTGTTGATATAAGTTGTATTAGAGAATGAATTGCACCTTCTATATATTTTGAGAAAACTTCTCAGCAAGTGAATGCCGCTGATGGAAGAAAACTAGAGATTAAATATAAGATCCCTGTTACCCATATTTTCAATCAAGGAACTTACCTAAAGACTATGTTTCTCATGGTAAGAAACTTAAGGCAAGATGTTATATTAGGAGCACCCTTCCTACTGTCAATTCTTCCCTACCAAATAGATTCTACAGGAATTACTGCCACCATAGGTGAAATAGCAGTCACCTACAAGTTCTGCCAAAAGCTAAAAATAATGGCAATAAATACTCTAAAAGAAAGCTTAAAAGATAGTCAAATTTATCTATGAATTACAAACAGAAATAAAAGAAAAACAATTGGCTAAATCCTCAAAAGAACYAAAAGCCCAACTAGAAATAGAAAAGTTTCAAACAAAATTAGAAAATGAGATATGCGTTGAAATTCCCAGTGCATTCTAGCACAGAAAAAGGCATATGATAGATCTTCCTTATGAGGAAGGATATAGTGAAACATAATTCCCACTAAAGCCAGACCAATCCAGATGAATAGAACATTATTAGAAATCTGCAAAAGGGAGATTCAAGAATTATTAACTATAGGTTTAAATAGACCAAGTAAGTCCCCTTGGAGCTGTCCAGCATTTTATGTAGAAAACGTAGCCGAAATAGAAAGAGGAATACCAAGGCTAGTGATTAATTATAAGCCACTTAACAAAGCCATGAGATGGATCAAATATCCTATCCCTAATAAATAGATTGTATGACACAAAAATATTTTCCAAGTTTGACCTAAAGTCAGGTTATTGGCAAATTCAAATAAGTGAGAAGGGTAAGTATAAAACAACATTTATAGTTCCTTTCGGGCATTATGAATGGAATGTTATGCCCTTTGGATTAAAAAATGCTCCCTTTGAATTTCAAAAAATTATGAATGAAATTTTTAATCCTTATACCTAATTCATCATAGTTTATATAGATGATGTATTGGTATACTCTCAATCATTGAAATATCACTGGAAGCATCTGAATATATTTTTTAGAGTTATGGAAGAAAATGGCTTAGCGGCATCAACTAAGAAAATGAAACTGTTTCAAACAGAAATAAGATTTTTAGGGTACCACATATCTAAAGGGAAAATAGCCCCAATTCAAAGAGTAATAAAGTTTGCGGATAAATTCCCAAGCGAAATTAAGGACAAAACAACTCCAAAGATTCTTAGGCAGTCTAAATTATGTAGCAAACTACTGCCATGACCTGGCCAAAGATTTCCAGCTACTTCAAAAAAGAGACTGAAGAAAAGCCCCCCCTGAATGGAATGAGCAATTCACTCAAACAGTGAAGAGAATAAAGAAAAGGGTAAAAACCCTTCCATGTCTCAATATCCCTCATCTAGAGATCCAAAAAATTTTTGAAACTAATGCCAATGAAATAGGATATGGAGGAATTCTAAAACAACATAGGAATGAATTCATCTGTTTCACCTTTGGCACCTGGAATGAAACCCAGAGAATATTCCACTGTCAAAAAAGAAATGTTAAGCATTGTTTTATGCATCTCAAAATTTCAAGGAGATTTAATAAATCGACATTTTACTTTACAAATTGATTGCAAGACTAATAAAAGATGACTAGTAGGATTCTATATTTAGGCATTCATGGTTCATTTGATTCTCTAGAGAATTCCAGGGCCCATATCCAGAATGGGCATATGTTTGGTGGACCACTTGGGGAGCTTCACATGATATTTTTCCTAAACCAAAATTATTTACAAATGTTCTAAGTTCGGTCAAGGAAGAAGCTATCTGGAACATGAACATGTAAAACAATTCAAGTTCTTCAAAACCTACCACCTCCCTTGGATTCTAAAGTGGAGTTATCATCTAGACGTTTCGTGGGTGCCCCCAACAATTGAAAGAGTTATGGAAATAAAGTGGTGGGATAAATTTGATCTCATATCAACACTAAAACCAATGCAAGAAGATGAGGTATTCCAGGTGTTGTTTGAGTCTTATTAGGAAAAGCACATATCCAAGTTTCCTGATCTGGACCCCATAGAGCTCGAAGAGATGTCCCTTCGGTTTGTAGGAAAAATAAAAGAAAAAAGCAAGAGAATCTCTAAGGACATTGAGGTCGAAATCATTTAGTCCCTCAGCCCCCATTAAGGCCTTAATTGTAAAGGAATCTCACTGTTGATAGACATCTATCCACTTTAAAGGTTCGTCCTTATCATCAACAATAATATTCATCCATAAAGCCACCTCAATGAGATTCGCCACCTCAAAAGTTGAAGATAAAGAAGCATCTTCCCATAGTAAAGAAATAAAGAAGCATCTCAATTATATATGCTCTTAAGATAAGATCGAATCTGAAAGATATTTCTCGAAGCAACTCTCTGGTTTTTAAATAAAGATCGCCTTCTTATTCCAAAGCACGATTGAGAATTGCGCTCTAAGGGTGTTTTCCTTTAAGAAGTTTGTTTGTGTATCTTCAAAGTGTTTTGTGAGCATTTTCTTGTTTGAGTGAAAGTGGTGTGAGGTTTTGACGAGTGTAATTGTTAAGTTGTGCTTTCCTCTAAGAAGTTTGTTTGTGCATCTTTGAAGTGTTCTATGAGCATTTTCTTGTTTGAGTGAAAGTTGTGTGAGGTTTTGATGAGTGTAATTGTTAAGTTGTGTGCTTCCGGTGTGCTTTTTGCCTTGTAAGTTAAATGTTTCTGTAAACTTCCTCTTTGCAATACTAGTATATGCAAACTCTTTCTTTAATAATAGAAACTATTTCACTGTTTTATTGTTTACTAGTATATGCAAACTCTTTAATAATAGAAATTATTTTACTATTTTCATGCATAGCATATTGCTTCTCAGTTTGAGTTTCTGTTATTATTCTACTCTGTCAGCATAACCCTTGAATATCAGAGCCTTCATTCGTTGCCAATTTTTGCTCACTCCCCACTCCATTTGGAAGATATTGAATATATTAAAACAAGGATAAAAAAACACATAAATCTAATTCTTCTTCTAGGGGTTTTATATTTTTTAAATTGTTTTTGTTGTATAAATCAATTCCAAAAAGGAATCTTTTTAATAACCCCAATTAATCGTGCTTTAGAATGAGTTTGCGGATAAATCAGCCCTAATTCATTAGATGGTTGTTTTATAATTCTCTAATATAGTCTAAATTATGTAGCATATTGCTTCTCAGTTTGAGTTTCTAATAGACCCAAACCTTCTCAAGCTATTTTCTCCCAAAACAAACCTTATTTCTTGTACTCCCTATCTCATTTTCTTGTTTAACTTCTCCCCCCATCCAAAAAAAAAAAAATCCCTGGCTCCACACTTGGTTCCCATTAAATAAAAAATTATATCTATATATTAAAACAAGGTTGTCTAAACATAGTTCTTTTTTCTTTTTTTTTTTATTTTTTCAAATTCTATAAACTCTAATTGACCAACTAATGGTGGCTTAATTGATACGACCTCGAGTT